TTCATGAAACAATTCACCACTTTGTCACAACTCTATAAACATTCTCGTGACAAACAAACTTGTACAAACTTCCATGTCAAAATCAAATACTCCAGTCAAAAACCCCTACTTCTATCAATATCAAACTTTGGCCTCAGATGACAAAACCTACAGTACAAACACACAGACAATTTCCCTGCCCAGTGAACACTAGTGAGATCAATTCAGAACACCGTAACAAAAACCTCTTATTGGGATTCAGAAATTATTTGGCAGCTCAATGTCTTAGTATACAACACAAATGAAAAATGCACAAAGAATAAAATACAGCAATAAGCTTTATGAAACATACATTTTCATTACACTACTGTAAGTGATCTTACAGTAGATGAAGTAGATGATCTTACAAGAGAAGTAACGTTCAAAAACAAAATAACTAAATATCAAATAGGTATGTAACATAATACAGTATAGTGTTGATTGCATACATAAATAAATTGGCCATATTTCATTACAGTAGAATATAGTACAAACATAAATGTCTTGGTCTTCTGACAAAACACTTTCCCAACCTCCCTTAGGCAGTTGTCTTTCAGACTCAGTTCTGCAAAAACACGGGTAAACAAAAAAATATGCTAAATTTGACAGTCACAAGTTTGAGTGTGTACAACATGCCATACTGTTTACTGGAGACCGAATAGTGAAATGTCCCTTATATAAAGTACTGTTACTATAGTTACTATACTGTACTACACTGTGTAAGCAGTGTAAAACCCTGTCTGTGATTCTTTCAGCTCTCTCTCCAGTGCTAGGATGCATTTTTAAAGCAGTCACCTGTGCTCCTGTCCTGTTTATACTATCCTGAGATTCTGACTGGTGTGTAATCAGTTTTGCTACTGAATGCTTGCTTATGGATAATTGTGTGTTGTTTGAGTTCACACTGTGACAGTAGAGTTAATTATATAATGTGTTTTATGAATGAGAAAATAAAATGTCTGTAAAATGAGGCCAACTTTGGAGAAATCATTAAAAAATTGGAATGTGTGTGAGTATTTATGCATGACACTATAATATATAGCCTAGAATATTATAATTTCTAAACTACTAAATGAATTAGTAAAACATGATTAAAGTGTTTACTCATGGTCCATTGCTTACATTATGAATGCATTTTTAATTTAGAATTTGGTCTTTGGATTTAACTGTGTTAATGCATTAAGCCATTTTTTGATTTTGTTTTCTTGGGGACAAAACTCTTAAACTCATAAAAATGTTGTCTTTCCATTTGGATTATACTGCCATTATCTTATATATGGTGCTTACAAGAAAGCTGTGAATTGATTGTTCCTGGTTGTTGTTTTACAAGTTATAAGCACTTTTTCTAAATAACATTGTAAGTTCATTGATTAGCTAATATTGCGGTGTAATTTTGATGACACAGCACAGACGGCATGTAGCTTCTCACGTATCTTCTCACACAGCTTCTCACGCGAGAAGGGGGACGACGAAAGTGTCGCGCTTCTTATCACATGTCATTGGTCATGGCTTCTGCTCATTGC